AGGTCGGTCGCTCGAAAGCCGGAATGTACAACCGGTTATTAGCGCTAGTATTTATTTGTGGAAAGCAACATGTAACATGGCAGCGTCCTCGTGTATTCTTCGAGAGTTAATGTTGGATAACTGGGGTAACTTATTTTCCATTTAAACATTCATTTTTCTCATGGAAAATTATTAATGTTAATTTTGCAAAACTTTCTATTGTCTTCGGCTTTGTGAAGCCATATCGATACTTTTGCGGCTGTTCAAAAATCAAATCTCACGAGTTTTTCCGTGTGTTCGTGTAAAATCCTGACGAGGAGGTGGTGTTTGATCCTGCTCCAAGAACAGTGTTCTTGAGTCGTGTTCCCGCCGTTTGAGCACGGGAACACGAAACCCGTGTCAAGAACAGACCACCCGACCTCGACAGATATGTAAAGCGTGGTTTCCATATCGACCTAAGAAACGCAGAGAGCAACGCAATCAAGACGCAAACTGAAACGCGGACATATTACACTCCGGTGATCAACTAAATAGCTGACCATCAACGAAATGCATGAAACTGGGGCAGGGTTTGGGCCCCATGAGGCGGTACAGTCTATCTAAAACCACATTTTCTGCGAAAATCACAGCGTTTCGTAAGCCATTTTGTTTCAATTTTTGGGTGGAATGGCGTCATGCACACTCTTTTCCGTTTGTGTCTGCGTATTTATGTCTTGCGTTCCGTTTGAATTAAAAACGACTAGATGGAAACCATGCTTAACCGCCATCATCTTCATGACAGTAAACCCCACAAAGAAACAATAATGCAAAGTTTATAGTTGTTGGAGCACCATTACGGTGTCCAGGGGGTAGCGTGGTCAAATCCCACTGCTCCTTATTTTCTTTGTTCATCCTTTTAATCAATTAGTTAGCCATGTTGAATTGCATTGAATGGTTTTTGAAACGATTGAAAAGCTGTTTTGACTTGAGTCCTCCCCGTTCAATTTAAAGTTGCATTATGTATTTTGGTCAAGCTCCTTTGGGTTTCGTAAGTGGTTTCTGACCAGTGCCTTGCCTGTAACAAAAGATATTGGCTGATGGGAAGAAGAGTCAAACGAGACTGGAGAGTTCATAGTGCCGGTACAACGTTCCAATCAAATCAACTTTTTACTTCGTTCTGATAACGGATTCAGTTTCTCTATAATTATGATTTGCTTCAAAGGTTTTAATTTCGTTTTATTATTTAGAAACGAACTGTGCTGAGGGAGAATTGAACTGCGGGGCTTATTGTATCAATGACAACCTGCGGTGTAACTATCAAGATGACTGTGTCGATGGTAGAGATGAGGAAGAATGCGGTAAATATACAAATCATTAAAAACAATCGTTTTAATTAAAAAGGTTAATGTGTTGGGATGCCCTAATGAAATTTACCAACTCTAAACCTATTCCTGTCTATGATTGTCAAAGAAAACTTTGGAACTAAACGAACGTTAGTGCGCTCCAGTAATCGTGAAATGGAATCATCGGTTTCGAAAATATTTTAACTTGACTTTATAGCCCTACTTCCTTCGTAGCTATATTTCCGGTCTTTTTTATGCGATTTTTTTCTGTTATCAGGTTGTGTGATCAGCCCATGTCTAAACAACGGGACATGTAACCCTATTGGAAGGTATGGCCTCAGCTGCATATGTCCCACCGGCTTTCAAGGGGCGAGGTGTGAAACAGGTAAAGTTCAAATATAACAGGTGCATTCCCAATTCACTATCACCGTGTTAACTTTTTAAACATAATATCACTTTGACTTTGATAAACGTGAGCTGATAAAACTTGTACGTCATATTTCTAATGTCAATGTTTATTTGTTAAACACTACATGAATTTATTTTTAATGTCATCAATGTAAGAACCATGTTTAGAAACTGATTTTAGCGCAGTGTTTTAACTGTATTGTTAGCATCTATTGAATACAAGGAGAGATTAAACCAACCAAGCTCTACACTGTTTTCTTCTTTGGGTATACATTTATATTAAAAGTGAACATCTCCCTCGGGGCCAACGAAACCGTTGAAGTCAGGTCGCCAGGTTACCCAGGCAGCTTTCCAAGAGGAGTATTTATCAACTGGATCATCAGGACGGAGGAAGACAGGAAGATTCTCGTTTCGTTTGGCAATCTTACCACCGATTACTATGACAACTGGAGGATCGGGAACGGAGATGTTGTCAGTCAGTCTACCCTTCTGTCGTGGAGATACCGACGGCGTCAACTACCGGTTCTCCTTTCGAATGGAAGTGCCATCTGGATTTCATTTTCGTTTTCTTTGTCCTATCAAACAAGAGAAGGATTTTCCTTTGTTGCGTCTTCTGTGCCATCCACAGGTATGAGAAACCGAGAACCGTGATTTAAAGTAATAGTTTTGTTATCGAAACCTTTTATTTGCCGCGTGGCCATTGATTGCAATGTGTAAACACTGAATTTTTGAAATTTTGTTTTCTTTGTGTAGAAACTTTGACCTGTTCTGATGATGAATTTGATTGTGGAAATTCTGTTTGCATCAGCGGTCTCTTACAATGTGACAGAAATTATGACTGCATCAATAACAGAGACGAAATTTCCTGTGGTAAATATATTATTTAAACTGGTGTAATTTATCTCGTAGGTGAATGGAAAGGTATTAAAAATGAAAAATCCTCTCTGTGAGTGTTAATTTTGCAAAAATGATTTAATTGACAGCTGTTATAGTTTTAGATTGAATAGACACGAAACATGCTTGGTGATGTATGGTTAAAAGCGCTTAGTTCGATGCGTTATAATAACGTTTTCCAACTTTGCTTTGATTGCAACGCATTTAGTACCAAAACATTTAAAAACTAAGTGCGTTTGTAAATACTAAAACTGCACCAAAAGCATAATTACTCCCAACTCTTATTCGATTGTGTTAAAGCAATGCATTAATATAATTATCAAGTCTTACGAAAGTATTGAGTTGATTTGAGGAAAACCAAGAAATTGGAAATGGCATTTGGACTATAGCTTGTTCGATTTCCACGAAATTCGGTATTAAAAAAACTGATTATCAGGTACAATGGTTATCAGTTTGGACAGTCAGAAGTTAAGTTTCTAAAGCGACCACACGGCAGCAGAAGGTGATTTTCGACCATTTGTTTAAATAAATAATATTCTCGCTGATGAGGCCTTCAAATGTTTTTTTTAAACCATTGTAGCTCGAAACAGAATATACAACTCGACGCAATCATTTCAGGCAAAAAGAAACACACAAAAGCTAATCAAATGTATAACTCTCCCATCTCCTTCCTTTTTATTACTGATGGGTTGACGGGGGCTATGGTCATAGCGTTCCTTTTTCTGAGACAATCTAAAAAACCAACAGGATAGCCTCGAGCCTCGAGCCACCAGACTTCTGGGGCACACCTCCGAACCATGGCTCTCCAGAAGGAATTGCGATATTGTACTGTAACAATCGAGGTTATTTATACAGCCCATCTAAAACAGCGAAAAGGTCAGCCTCAACCGAAGCTTAAAGGATATATTTTACTGTTTACGGCTTCCGTAGGCTGTGATTTCGTCTCCTGCCAGAACAACGGAACCTGTATACCAACATACTACGGCTATTTTAGATGCATCTGTTCCCAAGGGTTTACAGGAAGATTCTGCGAAGAAGGTAGTTAAGTGCAAGTTTATTAATTCGCCCATACACAGATGGAGTACAGATATTTGATAGCTGACATGGACTGTCCAAATAAGAATGTGGCGAATGTAACTGACACCTCTTGTGGTGGACCCAGTAACCGGCCGGATCAGGGATGGAATTGACCTGGCCCAGCCCCACAAATATATTTATTAACCTTGAGCAAGGATGAGCGGCTACCCTGACACAAGGGGGGATATCAGTAAACGAACGGCGGACTAAGCCTAGGGGCAGTTCGTTGGGTGGACGTTTACCACCAATTAGGAAAGACTAGATTCATCTGGTTATACAGTAATGAAACAC